GGGCGAGGCTCTGGGAGAGGAGCGGGGCCGCGAGCGAACGGAACTTGGAGAAAGGGGCGTAACCGCAGCCGCCTCCGAGGGGAGGGGACCAATGAGGAGCAGGCTGGTCCCTGCCCCTGGCTCTGTTGGACCAGTAGCTGCCGAGTTTCAATGACTGCTCGCGTCCTTCGGGGGCTGGGGGGCGGGAGTCTGGGGGACTGACGCTCTTATCACCCAATAAGAATCTACAAATAGAACCCACGCAGCGACTAGCCCAGCGTCCCAGCCAATCAGAAGCTTAGGAGAGCTGGTTGCTAGGAGGAATACATACTCAGTGAGATGTCGTTTTGGGGTCAAATCTCATTGCCCTCTGAGCCTTCGACGTTCCAGTTCTAGGCAAAGTCCTGGGAAACGTGTGGGTATTATGGGGCAGAAGGCGCATGGTGTCTTACTGGGCGCCAGGGTCCTTGGTCTAGACCAGGCTCTCCATGCTGGCTGTGCAGCAGTCTCCTGGAGAACTTTGAGATGTCATTTACATACAGTTCGATGTCTTTTGACAAACGCTTTTTAAAAACACAATACCAGCGCTTTGGGAGGCCAAGGCAGGAGGATTGCTTGAGGCCACGAGTTTGAGACCAGCAACAGAATGAGACCCCTTCTCTCCAAAAAAAATAATTATCTGGGTGTGGTGGCACGCTATTTGGAAGGCTGAGGCAGGAGAATCACTTAAGTCCAGGAGTTGGAGGCTGCAGTGAACTAGGATTGCACCGCTGGACTCCAGTCTGGTTGACAGAGTGAGGCCCTCTCTCTATAAAAGTAAATAAATAAAAACACTAATATGTCATTCAAGCGTACTTCTAAAAAACACAAACAACACTGATTTAACGTTTTGGATGAGGCCTGGGCAATTGTTGTCTGGTTTTGTAATTACAGAGATTCTGCTATGAGGCCAAGGGGGACTAGCAGTAGGCTAGATGCAGCCTGTCCTGGGAGCACTCAGGGAAGGGAATGAGCTTCAGAGCAGCAGTGGCCGATTTGGCCTGGGGCAGCGCTGGAGTGACCCAGGCTGCCTGGGAGCAGGCTAGATGCAGTAGGCTAGATGCAGCCTGTCCTGGGAGCACTCAGGGAAGGGAATGAGCTTCACAGCAGCAGTGGCCAATTTGGCCCAGGGCAGCGCTGGGGTGACCCAGGCTGCCTGGGTCCCATCTTAGGAAAGGAGTCTTCTGATCTGGAGGAAAGCACAGGTCATGGGACCTTTAAGGAGCCAGAGGCTTGAAATGTGGGAATGAAGGATGACTGTGAATTGTGGTGTCACAATTCTGAGGCTGACTACCCACTTCAGAGATGGCTCTTAAGACCTGTCTGACCCTCAGGAGCAACTGGTGCTCCAAAGACCTGAGAAAAACCACACCTGTAATGCGGCCTTTGCAGCTCAACTACTTTCTATTCCTTCATACCCCAGGCCTTTTGTGTAGGTGGTCTCCTTACCCTGGAACCTTCCTCCTTTTCACATTTTTTCACCTGGCCAACTCCTTAAAGACTCCTCTTAGAGTCACCTCCTCCAGGAAGCCTTTCTTGACTATCTTTCCCCCAACCATACACACATCAGTCTGAATTAGATGGCCCACTCCTACTTGGGCTAATATGGGCTCCCAGAACCTTGATACTTGATTTTAATGGTTACTTCTCTTGCCTGTCTGTCCCCAGGAGATCCTTGGGTAGGACTGAGTCACAGAGCTAGCCCAGGGTCTGGCACAGAACAGCCTCAGGGAAGGTGTTGTTGCTTTTTTGTTTTTGGTTTTGGAGTTGTAGTCTCACTCTGTTGCCCAGGCTGGAGTGCAATGACACACTCATAGTCACCGCAACCTCAACCTGCAGGGCTCAGGCGATCCTTCCACCTCAGCCTTCCAAATAGCTGGAACCACAGGCATGTGCCACCACACCTGGCTGATTTTTTTTTAAATTGTAGAGACGAGGTCTTACCATGCTGCTCAAGCTAGTCTCAAACCCCTGAGCTCAGACAATTCTCTCGCCTCCCGCCTCCCAAAGTGCTGGGATTATAGGTGTGAGCCACTGCACCTGGGACTCAGGGAAGTTTTAATGACAGATCCATCCCTGCTCCTTCAGGTCCCTGCCTCCTTCTGGAAAAATTTGGGGTGGGGGAACAGTAGCAGTAACTACCACTTATCCAGTGCTTCTGTGGGCCAAGGGTGGTGTTTGGCCTCTATAGGAGTCTCAAGGGACTCTCAAAGCAACACTTCTGGGGGGCGGGGATTTATACACTGTTTCACAAATGAGGAAACTGGGTTACCAAGAAGTATGCTGCCCAGGATACGAGGGACTGCCAGGCTTTGGAGTCAGTCCGACCTAGATCCCAACCCCAGGTTCGTGCCTTACTCGCCATATGACCTTGGCAGGTCACGTCCTCTGAGCCTCAGTCTCCTCACCTGGAAGAGACAAGCATGTTTACTGGGAGGCAGCGGAAACCATGCCCAGAAAAATGGCGTGTAGCTCACAGAGAGCTTCAAGGATGCTGCTGTTATTTCAGCCAGGAAGAAAAGAGGCAAAGAATATGTCATTTTTCCCCTTATACAAGTGGCTTCTTTATTCAAGGACAGAAAATAAAACTATCATTTGGGTAGCTGCTCCAGTTTTGTCCAAAATAATTTATTTACCAGCCTTACAAAAAATATGTCGGCAAGAGAAAAAGAAAAGTCCTGTAGGAGCAGGCAAGCCTCTCCTTCCTTCTTCCTTCCAGTGGCTCCCTAGGACCCTGCCAGGGAGTAGGAAGTCGGGGGGGGGCACCCCAAGCCCAGGGTGGAAGAGGAAAAAGTCAGGAAGTGGAGGACTGTCCTGAGTCCTCCTGGCCATGGGGGCCGACCCAGCGGGCACCGAGGCACTTGTGGGCAAAGGCTCGGGAGGGGAAAGGGCTGTCCTGGGGGTGAGCAGGGAGCGGGAAGCAAGGTAGGGACCTGAGGGTCAGTCGGGGAGAAGCCAGCCACTCATTCG